ACTAATAAACTTTTAAAACAATAAGCAAGTTAATATTTAATTAAAATAAAATTGCAATAACAAAAAGTTAAGACTCCCGCGCTCAACCAAAGGCAGCAGCACCCGCCACTTCGTGTTTACATACATACATACATATGTATGTCGGTATATGCGCCAATTTGATGTTGTCCAGCGTTGTGTTGTTAGTGTAAATACCGTGTGCAAGAGTGGGACAATTTATAGTGCCGTGAGAGTTATGATAAAGAGAAGAGAGGAGCGAAGATGGAAATTGCCAAAATTCAGAATTGCTGAGCAAAGTGAAGTTAGCAGGAGTAAAAGCAGAACGGTGCTGAGCAAAGTTAAGTTAGCAGGAGTAAAAGCAGAACGCTGCTAAGCAAAGTGAAGTTAGCAGGAGTAAATGGAGAATGCAATTAAAGCTGGCGGCTGCTGAAAAAACGTTTTAAGTACGGAAAAAACGTTAAATAATATATAACAAATGATTAAATCAATTAAACTAACTAAATATTATGCGGGGACACTGAAATAAACATAAAACAAGTGAGTGTTCAAAGAATATATGGAAATGTGAAGTGATCGCGGTTTCTCTGACAGTGGAAAGCGGAATGCGAAAAAATCATAAATTGTGCAACTGCGGAGGTGAAGTTAATAAATAACTACATAATTATGTAGGAAGTGATAAATAAAAGAATACACTTTTAAAACATGTTGCAAATAAATATCGAATTAAACGAAAATTATAATGAAAAAAGTGCGACTCCCGTGGCCAAGCGAAGGCAGCAGTACCCCTCGTTCTATGTGTACATATGTATGTGTGTGTGATGTGGTCCATGCAGATTTGTATGTGAGTGCACGTCATGTGTCCTCTCGCTCCCGCTCTCCCAAAAAGAAGGAAAACTTTAAATGTTACGGGACTAAAGTGCGTGGATAGAAAAAGGGAAAATAGTGTACAGTGATTAAAAATGCCACAGAGCATTAGTGCGTTCGTTGAGTGTGTAATTTTTATCCATTCCTATCCTTTTTTTTTGCTGGTAACACAGAAGTAAATAAATATGTATGTGTGTGTTTTTTTTTTTTAAGTGTTTGAATAATTGTTACATGAAATATTTCAATATCTATTTTTTTTTTTTTTTTTTTTTTAAGTGTTTAATTAATTAATACATGAAAAGAGTCTGTCCCAGAAGTAAATAAATATCATATTGTGCATGTGTGTGTTTTTTTTTCAGTGTTGAAATAATTATCACATAAAATGTAAATAAATAAAATGTGTTAAATTCTGTGAGTTAAAAAAAGTGAAAGGAAGGAAATGGAAAAAATCTCGCGAGTGGCCAGAACTGGAGGTGCTGTGTATTTAATATTATTAATTAACAATTTCCTATGCAAAAAGAACAAGACGAAGATGGTGAAGAAGAAGTAAAAAGAAGCGAAAAAGAAAAAATCGGTGAGTGAAAAATTATTTTATTCTATATATTGAATATACATTTTTTTATTGTCTTTTACAATATTTGGGGGATTTTTAATATTCTTTTTCAGAGGAAATTTTACAGATTTTTTTCTGTTCTCCGATTCGATATTTTTTTTAATTTTGAAATTAAATATAAGGAAAAAATATCCTAATTTTTACATCATTTTTTTTTCTGTAAGCACAAAAGTACATAAATATATACATATGTTTTTTTATATAAAGTGTTTAATTAATTCATGAAGTGTGTCTTTTGGATGTATTTTCTCTTTCCGTGTTGAAATATTTATTACGTAAAATGTTTGTTTTTGTGTGATTAATAATTAAAAAAAAAAATTTTTTTTTAAGTGTTTAATATGTAGCTACATAATATTGTCAAATTCTCTGATTTAAAAAAAGGAAAGTAAAGAAATAGACAAAATCTCGCGAGTGGCCAGAACGGGAAGTGCTGTGTATTTAATTTTATTAATTAACAATTTCCAATGCAAATAGGAAAAGGCTAAGATGATGAAGAAGAAGAAAGAAGCGAAATTGAGAAAATCGGTGAGTGAAATTTTATTTTATTTTATATATTGAATATTCATATTTTTATTCCCTTTTTTCCCAATGCAAAAATTTTGTTATTTGGTCTACAATTTTTGGGGGATTTTTTATAGTTTTTTTTTCACAGGAAATGTAACAGATTTTCTTTTATTCCCGGTTCGATTTTTTTTTAATATTGATAAATAAAATATAAGAAAAAATATATCCTAATTTTTACATCATTTTTTTTTCTGTTAACACAGAAGTAAATAATTACATATGTATGTTTTTTTTATTGTTTAATTGTTTGAATAATTGTTATATAAAATGTTTCAATATTTTGATATTTTTTTTAAGTGTTTAATAGGTAAAATGTGTTAAATTGTGTAAATTTTTTTAAAGTGTTAAAGTGTTAAATTAATAAATGAAGAGTGTCTTTTGTATGTGTGTTTTTTCAGTGCTGAAATAATTATTATATAAAATGTTTGTTTTCTTGTGATTAATAATTATTTAAAATATTTAAAAAAATATGCATGCAATGTGTGTGGTTAATAATTATTTTAATTATATACAAAAATAATTTTTTTGTTTTTTTTAAGTGTTTAATAAGTATATGCATGCAATGTGTTAAATTTTGTGAGTGAAAAAAAAGGAAGTAAAAAAATGGACAAAATCTCGCGAGTGGCCGGAATTGGAAGTGTTCTGCGTGTAATTAAATTAATAAATAATTTTCAATACAAAAAGAAATGGACGAAGATGAAGATGGAGAGGAAGAAAGAACCGAAAATAAGAAAATCGGTGAGTGAAAACTTTATTTATTTTATATATTGAATGTACATATTTTTTACCCTTTTTTCAAAATGCAAAAATATTGTAGACCAAAATATTTGGGGGATTTTTATAGTTCTTTTTAAACAGGAAATGTTGCAAATATTTAAAATATTATAACAAAATATTGGAAAAATACATGCGAATTTTTATACCCTTGCAGAATATTATAATTTTAGTCAGAAGCAACGCAGTGGTGGAGACATTTCCGACCATATAAAGTATATATATTCTTGATCAGCATCAACAGCTAAGTCAATCTAGCCATGTCCGTCTGTCCGTCCCTCCGTCTGTCCGTATGTCCGTCTGTGCATCTGTCCGTCTGTACATCTGTCCGTCCGTCTGTCCGTCTGTACATCTGTCCGTCTGTCCGTCCGTCCGTCTGTCCGTTTCAAAGAAACTAGTCCCTCAGTGCTGAAGCTATCTCAATGAAACTTTGCAGTTAGTCTTCTATATACTCTTACTCGTACATATGTCGAAACGGACTGGATCAGACGACTATATCACATAGCTGACATGCAAACGATCGGAAAGTTTTTAGAAAATAAATTCTTACTTTTCCAATTTTCAACAGATTTTCACCAAATTAAGGATATGACAATTCTATAATATTAGTCTTTTATTTATTTTTATAGAATTTCTGTTATAATTTTAAGTAAATCGGACTTCTATATCATATAGCTGTCATATAAAAGTTCGTTAAAAAAAACTGTAAAACTGTGAATAAGTTTTCTTTACATCAATTTATACAATTTATAATGTATTGATTCCTAATCATCGAAGTTCTATCTGCAAGGGTATATAAACTTCGGCGTGCCGAAGTTAGCATCCTTTCTTGTTACATCACAAAATGTGATAAAATGTATATAATCAAAACTTTTTATTCAGATTTATTCCGATTAAGAATAACTAACTCAAGGCAAATATTAAGCTTTAGATTTGCTAGCTGGAAGCCTCCAGCCTTTCTTATCCACCTAGACATCCATTTACTATAGGGTATCACTGGCTGGGCATACCTCTCACTGGGGGGAAAACTCTTAATTGATGGCACCACGCCTTCTCCGGTTGACGCGTGGATATTAAATCGTTGACAAGCTGCCTTGGCTGTTGGCGTAACGCCAACAAAGTGAAAATTTATTAAACTTCTAAATAGTGTTGACAAAGATGTACGGTAGTGTGACAGACATGACAAATAGTTTGTTGGGTTCCCTGTTCCGCCTCCCTCCCTCCCTCCTATCTGCATGTCGCCGTGACAGCAGCAATTTAAAGTGATGCGACCTGCTTGGGGGGTGGTGATGCTGGTGCTGTGGTGCTGGGGTGTGACAAAGTGCCGTGAGAGTCCAGGAAAAGGATGGGGATGGAGGATAGGGGAAGGGGAGGTGGTGGTGTTGGAGTGTGGGAGGCGCCAGCCTCTATTTGAACATCATTAAATGAGTTAATGCCATTTAAGACTCTCGACATCTGTACGGATCTCTCTCAGTGTGTGTGTGTGGTGTATATATATTGTATATTTTCCGGTTACCGAAGGGTGGCTGTGGTTGAACCATTGGTCACTGTTGTGTTGTGGCCACTTTTTCACATTGTTTTCCTTGTGCCAATATGTATACGCATCCGCCGCATTCGCATCTGTATCCAGTATCTGTATCTGAATCGGAATCCTTTTTTCTCCCCCCCCCTACACTTACACATCCCATACAGTGGCATTTAAATATTTTTTCCTGCTGCCGCTTAATGGCCTTCAATGTGGAGTATACAACCACACCCACCCACAACAAACCAACCATCCATCCAACCATCCATCCCCGAGCGTATTGCTTTCCGGCAGCATCCGTTCATCTTCTCTCCCCTTCCCTGGTTAACGGATGGAGAGTCAATCTCGCATCATTCTTCACAGCGTTTAAGAATCAATTTCCAACACAACACAACACAAGAGTACAACATGGCATTTGTGCCTGTCCTTTTGGCCCCCCAACTCTTGGCAGCTCATCCTTCAAGTTTTCCGACTCGATTTCCCTGCCTCCTCAACCCCCTTTTGTAACCTGAACTCCTGTGGGGTATATCCCGCTGTGAAGGGGTTTCTTCTCAACAAAATATGTTAATATATGTATATAGGTATATATCCGAGAAATTAGCCTAAGATCTCTAGAGATCCAAGTAAGCCTTTCCGATCGAATCATTTACATGGGAAACGTTTCTGGTTCAAATTTGTCACAACCATTTACACTTTCGTACGGACATCAGGGACAAGGCGTCAAAAAATAATACATTTCCTTCCAAAAATTGGTTCTATCTTCTCCGGCATTTTTATAAAATTTGTTTAAAAATTCAGTTTTTCTCGTTAAAATTTTTCTTTTATAATCGAATATGCCCGTCTTCCGTATGTTATTCTGCCAACAGCAGTTGAAACGCGATCTTTACGAGAGCTGGCTAATCATGTTTATTGCGTTGTTTGTCCGCTGGAATCGTTTCCGTCAACTGGTGGTGCCCCCGTTGGATGGTCTGCGTTTACTAAGAGATAGCTCTGATTATCGCCTGGCCGAGGTATTATTTGGCATTGGCCTCTTGGCCTTTATATTGCCATTCCGTTGCTATTGGGTCCAGCGGTGTCAGCATCGTGTCCAGCTTCTGATGCTGGCTGCTGAGATGGTGATTCTGCTTCGCATTATCGAGTTCAATGACAACGTTGTGTGGCAACCGTTTTTGGGCATCTATCGGGACATGTTCGAGACGATGGGACGTAATGACTATTGGTTCTATCAATATGCACCGGGAATGGCCATCTGGTTGGTGAGTGGTCGTGCCTTCGAGTCCTTCCAGTTGCTCCTCTCCTTTGGCATCTTCGTGGCTGGCATTAATAATGCCGCCGAAGAATGGATGAGGACCGTGGATCTATTGTTGCTTGGTCATGAGCCGGCAATTCCATGTCCAGCCTGGCGGAGACACTATCGGGAGTTTCAGCGTCAAGATAGATGTGATAAGAGATATCCGCCAAAGCCCTCACCGGAACACCTTATGTATCGACGTCTGTGCCATGCCTGTATCCAAGAAGCCGCCAAGCTTTATGATGATTTCGAAGTCTATAACGATATCGAGGAACCAAGCAGTGAGCCAGATATTCTGAATGAATCAAATATACCGCGAAAAGTCGAGGCAAATCAATAATCCGGAAGCTGTAAATGGTCCTTTCAAATTCTTTTAATTTCTTTTGAGTTACATAAAAAAAATTATTTATGATGACGTTTGGAGTAAAGCATTACTAATTTCACTCAAAATTAGTTGTGTTATCTTTACTTTGCAAGCTTTAATAGTTTAGAATTGTTAGTTCCTCAAGCTAAAATATTTTTAAAGCATACTTGAAGACTTGAAATGGTTTAAATGAAGAGTTTTTGAATAGTTTTTTGTTGGTAAAACCCCTAAGTTAAAAATTATACTTACGGGTTAATAGACCTTCCCGGTTTAGTTCTAATTTAAGTGATACATTTTCGTTAATTGTTATTAGGAAACCCCCAAGTTTAATATTATATTTACAGGTTAATAGGCCTTCCACTTAAACTTCTTCCTGGATATTTTTTTTGTTACTTCTTAGCGCTCCTTGTCTCTACAGTTTGACTTATAAATGTAATACTCGCATGTGTGGATTAAGTCATAATTGCCCACCTGTGCTGTGTGTTGGCACCTGAAAAACTCAATCAGCCGGGCATTATAAATTTATGAGAATTAAATTAAATTATTCAATCAGTTTGCCAAACCCAATGGCAGGCCTCCTGTACCCCCCAAAAAACTCTTGATGGTGCGATATGTGTGCTTGTACCTTCCTCCTCCTCTTTTTTTTCTGTGGCATCACAGGGCAAAATCTGCGTGAGAGAGTCTCCGGACTGTGGATGCGGATTCCCCAGACTCGGGAGGGAGATGGTGGGTGGGTGGTTTACTCCATACTCTATACACTCCTTGCTCCATAGCTGGTCTGGTGTGGCCTGGTGTCGTGTATGCAAATATGTTTGACAGTGTCGCTTTATTGTTCCGCCTCGTTCCATATGGCTTGGCGCACTCCAGAGGAGTACCAGTCTGGGTTTGGGGAGTGGGCAAGTGCCAGAACCACTTGCTGCTCTGCCTCTGACTCTGCCTCTGCCCCAGAGTGTTGCTTAGTTGTGGAAAGTCACGCTGCCATATTGCGTGTTTTGATTGATGGATAAGCGCGGTATTTGTTTTGCAAACACTTGACAGGCGGCTTGATTAAAAAACTTCACTGCTCACATGGGACCAGGGACCAAGGAACAGGGATCCCTGTATCCCGGTATCCGGGTTCCGGGACATTTAAAGGCGTGTCCCAGTATCAGGAACTGAGAGCAATTACCAGGGGGCAGACTCTAATGCTTGTTTCTGATTTGTTGTCGCCATTTATTTCACGACCTTTTGCGTTGAACATGCAAATTAATGTAAATGAAATTGTCGAAGCTCTATCCCTCATCCTGTCAGATGTATGTCATCGCTGGTTCTCTCGTCCGCTGATTAATTGGAAATTCATAAAGCCAGCAAAGAGATTCTACCCAGCATCGCAGCATCCCAGCATGGACATGTGTATTTGGATGGTCGCTGTTGTTGCTCTTGGGTGTTATTTTTAGGTGCAATTTTCTGGCCGGGATCTGTGGGGGGGAAGGGGGAGGGATAGATCCAAGAAGACGAGGTGACAGATGTTCCTCCCCCGCCGGTCAACGTGAGTAGGCAAAACACAGATCTGTGGGTGGGAAATGGTAAACAAAACACTAGAAAATGTGGGCGACAGGCCCGACAAACGCCTCTTGTTTTATGCCAATATATATCGCTGGTTTTTATGTCTTTTAATTGGAAATTTTTACAAGAATTATATATAAAATACACCAAGAAATATATAATAAGATTAATAACATATATTTAATATATCTAGAACCAGTTAGGAATCGATTTTCTTAATAAGCTCTCAGTGGAATTCTTAACGGAATCCAATTGAGAATGATTTACTCCTCTTTTGTACGCTTCAGTATGTAGGGCATACATATATTATATATATATATTATATATCCTGGTAATGGATTGGATACTATACACTAGCCCGCAATTACGATAACTACATAATGGTCTATTTATTATGAAAGGCCTGCTAATCAGTGACGGTGCGGGGAAAAAGTTAAACTCGTGCTCCAGAAAAGGGTTAAGGGTCAGTATCCCTCACATCCTGCGAAACTTTGTATTTATTTAGCCCCGAATAAAGATGTCATAAAAAACAAATTCCACTTTTATGTTTTGGCACGGCCACCGGGCGGAAAAGATTCATGGCCCATTCGAATTGGCCCTGAGCACAAATCGCAATTGGGGTGTTCGGTGGCCAGTAGTCGTAGAACACTGAGCGATAAAACGGTGACTAGGTCAAGCAGAAATACACATAAATTATTGTTCTTTTTAGAAATTTAAGTAGATATATAGCAAATTATTTTTCAATTGCAGTATTATCCAAGAAATCTTGCAGTAGGAATATTTATATATAACTACATTCTTTTTAACCTTTAAATTTGTTGCTTAGAGTGGTCTGAAAATTCCCAAGTCGAAATTCTGTGATACATTTGTTTTAAATTTGTAGAAATTAGCACAAATAATGTATCGTCAAGTATTTTCTAGGGAACCTTGCTGTATAAATGTTTATTTAAAAGCTTACGGTTTAAGGTGTCTCAATTTTTACTCATTACTCTCATTTACTCTCCAATCAAATTTCTCCCTGTGCAGCTATCGATGGTGATGCTACCAGCGATAATGCCCAATTTCAAAGAACTTGCAATATCCAGGCACTTGGCATTAACATTTCTCAAAGCAGCCTGCGGGAACTGGCTCAAAGGGTTGGCGTGTGCATACATTTGTCAGTTTTGCTTGGGGATGGAGTGCTCCTCCTCCTCATCCTTGTAATCCTCCTACTCCCGCTCTTCATCCTCTTCAGGATGTTGTCACCCTTGTACAAGGGAGCAGGAGCAGGATGCTGCCCAGTCTCGGTTAAAGGGCGAAGGGTTGGACTGGTCCTTAAATGATTTGTCGCCTTTTACGCGAGCGATTACCACATTATAGGCTGAAGCTAAAGCGCTACTCATATCGGAAAACACTTTCGTTTATTGCAGCCGTGCAATGGGGTATTCCCACTTGTATTCCCTAAGAACCCGGAACCCAGGACCCGGTATCCGTAACCCGTAACCCGGACACGAACACACACAAAACCCAGGGACTAAGCCCGGAAAAGCTGGAACAGCACCCTGACGATGGGCGGGCATTGCGACACATTCCCGCCTTTTCCCATCGGGTTCATAAATAATTTCCAAGCACTCCTTGCATAAACAACAACGAATTCAATTTGGTAGCTGAAGCTGAGCTGTACGTTGTCTGATCCCTTACCCCCAAGCCCTTTTTTTTTTTGGGTGCCAGCCGTTAATGAGTTTCTACGCAATTTCGTTTGCTGGAATTATTAAAGGCCAGGACACAAATTATAATCCCAAAGAGGTAGAAAAACACCAAGTACAGGGGAGCTTTGGATATCCAGTCTGAAGTATTACCTCTTTCTTTCCCAGCAAATTGTCATATTCGTGAGGATTCGTGCGGACCCACTTAGTTATCTGATTTGTCACTTTGGCTGTCCAAGGATCGCAGGAATCATATTACACCTGGCGCGGGACCTGCTTTTGGTTTGATTTTGTTTACCAGGCACAAGGCGCTAACAAATGAGACCACCGTTGTGGCTGTTGCAACTGTTGCATGTTGCAGATTAGATCAGAGCAACAGCAGCAGCAATAGCAACAGCAGCACCCTGACTTTCTAGGGTTGATAGGTCTCAATGAAGTGACTTGAATACATTTAAAATTGAATTTTTGGTTCAAAAACTTTATAAATCTATAGTTTTTATAGCAAAGAAGAAGTATAGGATAGTATAAGGTATTTTCCTCAAATTTAAATAGGATTTATTTGAATTTGAATCATAAATAAACCAAACTTTAAAGAGTATTACCAGCTTAGCTTGATCGCGATTTGTGTTGTCCATTCGTGTGACCTGGCCACAGACTTTTAACCATTACCCATTCCATTACCATTAACGATCCCAGATCTAGCTCCTGGACTTGGGATTCGTGCAGCGTCTCGAATTTCAAGCCTTGGTCATTGTCTGTGCCAGTGGAGACAATATTTTCCTTTATTTGGAGCAAACTGGAGAGAAACCCTTGCTTGAGAGGATGGGATGGGAGGATGAAGGATGGTTTGGATAAATGGCAGCCACAAATTGGAACTACAGGGCTCACTCACTCTCTCGCTCTCACCATCTCTGGGCCATGGTTGTGGTGGCACGTCGTGTTTGCCCATTTAATAACCTCAAGCGAACCCCCAACCTCACCTGGCTTCTGGCCTCCAAATTGTTTTGTTTTATTGGTTTTGTCAATTTGCTCTGGCGGGTGACGACGGAGTGGAAATATTATTTTGTATGTGCCAAACGGTCAAGCGGATCAAGTTTGAACAGGACACCAAAGTCCTGACTGGGGCTGGGACAGCTGCTGGTAACAAATTGCTGATATGTCCAGAAGCGATGCCGCAAATTAGTGTGTTTAATACGTGTGTGTGTGTTTGTCTCTCTGGCGAGCTAACAAATTGAACTCATTTCGCCTTACATTGCGATGATCACCGGAAAACAAATGGTCGCCAAGAGTGGCGAGTTCTTCGAGTTATTCGAGTGACGGAAGCCCAGAGTCCACACGTACCAGGATACAGGACCCCATCCAGCCAACTAGTCACTGACCAGCAGGGGCAAGGTGTAGCCTATGTCCTATAGACAGGGTTTTGTAAACACTGGGGCTCTTACACTGGGAAAAAGAAGGGTTGTTTTCTTCCTATGACTAAGTAATTTTGCTAAATAGATATTTTATGACTAAAAAAAATAGCTAGGTACATCTTAAAAGCGCTAGATTTGGCCACAAAATTAAAATGTGACCGTACTGTACTTAGGCAGGCAACGGATTTTGTACCTGGATACGTTTTTTTTTTTTTTTTTTTTTTGTCAATTTTAGGTAATATGACACTGTAAATCAGTTAGAAATAATATTCCTTGAATTCCTAGACTGGAAAAATATACAAATTAAGCCCGAACTGAGTTTTACATGTACACTTTTAGAAAGAGTTAAGATTGTGATCATTTGGTAACGAAAATAACTTATTTATTTTCAAGTGCAAGTTCTTTTGTGTTTGAATAAAAGCAGAAAATTCTTAGTTCTAGAAT